CGAGTACACTCGGAATCTCCCAACCAGCCAGGCCCAAAAAAGGAACTTTTCCAAGCTCGTTCCGTAAGATGCCGGCGGACCACCAGGTGTGTAAAAGTCTCCTTCGGCTCCGCCTAATTTCCTCGCTGTCTCCTTTTTCCCCTGCTCGTTCTGCAAGGCACTTAACTCACGGGAAAGGTTCTGAGTCCAACCTCACTGCTTAGAAAAACCCACAGTGCTGGGCAAAGGTCCCTCTTTGCACCTCGGATCCTAGCGAGCCCTTTCTGAGATGGAGGGAGCGCTCCAATGCCGGAGACGCTCAAGAGAAAGCCGGACCACTGTCTAGAATCCAGGAAGATTTTGACTTGGATTCCGGCATTAAAGTGGGGGGTGGGTGGGTTTTGAACCCAGTGGCCTTCTGGGCCCCTTTACGCCCCGTTACCCTATGATTCTATAAGGGACGTGGTGGCGCTGGGGGTGAAACCGCATAAGCCTCTGTGCTGCAAGGTCGGAAGACCAGCCGTCGTAAGATCGAATCCACGCGACGGAGGGAGCTCCTGTCACTCATCCCAGCTCCCGCCAACCTAGCCGTTCGAAAGCATGAGAGTCGATAAATAGGGACCACCTTGGTGGGAAGGTCACGGCATTCCGTGTCTAGTCACGCTGGCCACGTGACCAGAGGATTGTCTGTGGTCAAAACGCTGGCTCTATGGGTTGGAAATGGAGATGAGCACCGCGCCCTAGAGTTGGATACGACTGGACAAATTGCCAAGGGGAACCTTTACCTTTACCTACCCTACGATTCTATGGCAGCTGCAGACAGACCACAAACAGCCGGACTGGACTCTAGGACCCCCAAGCGCCTGCCCCCAGGGTCGCTCACCTGGTGACGCCACCGAACGCACGCTCCACAATGAATGCTGTGATCTTATCCTTCACTTCGCCTGTGGTCCCGTCTTTTATGGGCGTCTTCGCAAACACGGTGAAGATCTCCGCCAGACCGCCGTTGCTGCAGAAAACGGTTCCGTCAGCTTTGCAAGCCTCAAGCAGACAGAGAGGACCCCTTTGCAGGCATGGCTTCAGCAAATGTGGGGCACCTTCGCCAGAGAGACTCGCCTGGTGCCCACTCTTGCCTTTCTTTCGTCCCACCATGCCTCCTTATTTCTCCCCCCCGTCGGTGAGCATGCTCATTTTAGTGCTCTGATATCTTTCGTCATAACAATAGTAGTCATCTTGGAGCCGCAGCGCTGGAAGGGACCCCGTGGGATTATCCAGTCCAGCCCCTGCCAAGGAGGCACCGAGAGGGATTCAAACTCCCAACCTCTAGCTCTGCACCTTAGAGACCGATGCCACTGAGCTATCCAGCCGTTATTTACTACTTCTTTTTTTTAAAAAAAATCGTTCCTCTGCACCCCACTTTCCCCCCACAAATGGGACTCAAAGGGGCTTAACAATGAGAGCCAATAAAAGTGAAGTTTACATGGGATGAAACCATTAAAAGTTAAAAGCACAGCTTAATCACATCGCAGCGAAAGAGGAGAGGGCACCAATCCAATTAAAACCGATCGCTGAGCGAGTCCAAAGGTCTTTGCTCGGCAGCGGAAGGATAACGGCTGGGAGGGAATTCTGGGGCCTAGAAGAAGCCACCAACAAGACCCTAAACGTGTCTTCTTGGATGATGTGAGGAAGACACGGGCTAAGAGACGCAGCCCTTCACAGAACCCGGATCCCAGCTGCCCCCCAACCCCCGGCTATTTCTGCCATTTGATTTCATCTGGTTTTTAGTCTATGGGGTGTTGCTCCTCCTTCTTTCTTATGTGAAGGGATCTGTGCCCTGCATCAAAGAACGACAGGGTTGGAAGGCCAACAAAATTAATGAATTACTGGGTGGGTGGGGTGGGGGAGTCGTCGCCACCACCAAGGCTTTCTGCCGAGCCCAAGAATCCATTTTCCCTGCGCATGCAAAAACGATAGCCAAGCTGTTTCTGAAAGAACAGAGACGCTCTGGCACACACCACGGTGCCCGGATTTCTACAACGGAGGCATCAGATGTGTCTTCCCTGACAAATTTAGTACAGTTATGCAACAAGAGGAGACAAGAAAAATCAAAGCACGTGGAACTGCCTCCTTGGGTTGAGGTTAAAAAAAACCAGCCATGTGCTTCTGAACATGTGCAGAGTGGCCGTCCATCAGCATGACAGGGGAGGGATTTCTGCAGGTGTCTGAGATGAAGCTACATGTTCTAAAAAGTTCCTTTTTTTTAACTACAGCTTCAGTGGATTCTGGGAGGTGTAGGCCAAAAAAAAAAGGGGGAATTTTTCCTGTGCTCGGGTGAGGTGGATGATGACTTAGAAAAGGAAATTCCAAGAGCCTGTCCCAGAGAAAGCGGCCACTATCTTCCTCCTCGTGCTTCTGTCATCAAACCAAGGATCTTTTGTTTTCCCGAAATGTTAAAACAGACTTTCAACCCCACCCGTTGTTTTATTTTTCACTTTTTTTTCCCACTTCGATCGCGTTTCTGTTTATGGTGCCTTATGGTCTTTATATTATGAGCTCTTTTCTCCTTGTCAGACCCACGGATCCCGCCCAGAAAAAAGGGTTGGAGGGCTAGAAAGAAAGGATAAGAAGGCTTCTGACCAGGGGAACGGCAAATTCCCAGCCCAAAAGTCTGGGCCTCCTTCCCTCCCCGCCTGCCACTGACCTGATCCAAATTTTGCTCCCGTTGAGGGTGTAATACGTGCCGCAGGGGCTGAGAGTAGCCGTAGAACGGATCGAAGCCGCGTCCGACCCACTGGCTGGCTCCGTCAGACAATAAGCCGCCACGTTCTCTCCTGGGCAAGGAGGAAAAGTAGGGATGAAAGTTGAAGAGTAAGAGGGTGAGGGGAGAGGGGAGAGAAAGGGGGGCCTCCTTTGGGGAAACAAGGAGGAGAAGTCCTATGGAACATATGGTGTGTTCCCTCACCCACCCACCCAGTAAAGAGCTGGGCATCTCACACCAGCTCCAGCTGGCATGGCCCTTGGTGAGGGATGCCCTCTGCAGGGGCACCGGTTGTTCAGCTTGGCCCCGATGGTCTCCAACAGCTTTTGGGGCTTCCCCCCCCCATCGCTGACGACAGCTCCTGGCCCACAGCCTTGACAGCCCCTCTGCCTCAGCCTCTTCAAGGGCCACCTGTCGTACCTGTCGCCAATTTCGGGAAGTACTTCTCCTTCTGCGCCGGGGTGCCGTAGAGCAGGATCCCCTTGAACCCAATTGATTGGTGAGCCCCGAGGGTGATGCCCACCCCCAGGTCGTGCAGCCCAACCATCTCCACCAGCCGAGCGTACTGCAAGTTTCAAATGGGGAAGAGGAGACAGGTGAGGACCAACCTGGGAACAAATCAAATTGTGGGCCCCCTCAAAGTCATCCAGCGTGACCCCGAGAAAGCTCAGTTTTAACATCCTGCCATCTTGGCTGAGTTAAAAAAAGACACACCAAACATAGACAGTTGGAATGTTTGCGAACATTCCGTGGCACCACAACTAATCGCCCTACAGCTGAGCAGAAAGGAGTCTTGTGTATCCCAAAACTTCCTTATGTGTGATAAAATATAACAACCTTATCTTTATATACATCTCTCTGCTTGCTTGGTAGCATGTCCCGTGATCACAGCTGGGCAGATTTTCGCAAAATTTGGAAGGTGCCAACGCTTGACATACAGGCAACGTGGCATACACAAAGACCACAGCGGAGGTCCTGGGGGTACGCCCGTAAACCACAATGATTTTCTCCTGCCTACCCCATCCTGAAGATTTTGATGAGTTGAGTTTTCACCTATTTCCACTTTTGCCCTCATTTTATAGAATGAGATTCTGGGGAGATTCTAGGATTCGGATAAGCTGAAGGAGTGCCAAGAGGAAACTGCCAGAGAGCTGAGGGGTTTCGGAGGCCTCCGGCTGCAGGGCCCAAGGTGGGGAGTTCGAATCCCCCCCACCCCACTGTGCCTCCTTGACCGGGGAGGGGGCTGCAGGGCCCAAGGTGGGGAGTTCGAATTCCCCACCCCACTGTGCCTCCTTGAGCGGGGAGGGGCTGGATGATCCAGAGGGTCCCTTCTAGCTCTGCCGTCCGCTATGCTAGATTTATCAAGAAGAGAAACCAGGATCAAAGAATGGGGCGGGGGAGGGTGTCACAGTGAAGAGAGACCAAGACTCCCAGGATTTTAAACAGCATTTAATTTAAAATGTATTCATTCCCTGTGGCTTTACACATGGCTCCATTCCACGGGATTTGGGAGTAAAAAAGGAAAAGAGATGCTGACCTCAGAGAAGCTGGGCCTCTTACCTGGGTGTTGTTGAGCCCCAGGCCCCCAAACTGGACGGGGATCTGCAGACCGAAGGCTCCCAGTTCCTTCAGCCCCTGCATGGTCTTCTCCTCCACCTGCTCCAGAGTATCGTTCTTGGCCGGATCGTTCACCTCCTGGCGGGTAGGAAGGAGGAGAGAGAAAGAGGGTGACCGTCGGAAAGACCTTCCTTCCGACAGACGGACGGAGAGTTTGGAAGCCGTATCAGAAAAGGAACATTTCCACGCTCTGCACCCAGACGGACTATCTCCACGGATCGGCCAGGGGGTTCAGCACGAGATCCGTCCCTTGCTTGCGAGTCACACACCGGCTCTGAGCCCCACTGCACCCCCTGCAGACCCTCTCTCGACGTCGGATCTGAGCCCCCCACTTTCTCTCCCTCCCTCGGACGTCTCACCTCAAAGAATCGAGAGACGGGGCCCACAAGTTCTTGCAAAGTCTGGACTTGGTCTTCGTTGAGCGCTGTAACGGAGGGAGAGGTAAGAGGAGTCGACTCAGCCCCCTTTCCGATTCAGGACCCCCCAAAAGGCACAACCGCCCCCCCTAGTCCCAGTCCTCGGTTTGAGGGCTTCTTGTATTTCAAGCTTGTTTCAAACTGTGGCCAACGGGGAAGATCAAACTTATGCCAAGAAAGAAAGGACGCTTTCTATGTACTGGTTTCGAAGAAAGCGAAAAGGCTTCGCGAGTCTCAGAGAACTGGGTGCGAATGACGCAACCTTCACACCAGAAGGTCACTGGGTGGCTCTTCTTTGTCCCTCCTCACTCCAAAACAGCTCAAGCCATCTGTAAGTCAAGGGTCCACTGTACTGAAGAAAGCAAAAAGGCTTCGCGAGTCCCAGAGAACTGGGTGCGAATGGCGCAACCTTCATACCAGAAGGTCACTGGACGGCTCTTCTTTGTCCCTCCTCACTCCAATCAGTAACACTGAAAATACACCATGTCCCATTCTCCCCATCCTTCTGACTTACACATTTGCCCCCCCCATGTAAGTCAAGGGTCCACTGTACTGAAGAAAGCAAAAAGGCTTCGCGAGTCCCAGAGAACTGGGTGCGAATGGCGCAACCTTCATACCAGAAGGTCACTGGACGGCTCTTCTTTGTCCCTCCTCACTCCAATCAGTAACACTGAAAATACACCATGTCCCATTCTCCCCATCCTTCTGACTTACACATTTGCCCCCCCCACACAGAGCAGGGGCTATTTGTCGGCCTGTATGGGTCAGTTTCCTCCAACCCAGGGGGCCTGCTCAATGGGTCAGGCCGCGACTCCCGCCAACGTGACTCAGCACGGTGGGAGCTGTAGTCCGCCAGGACACTTGGGTTAAGCAGTCTGTGGCTGCAGGAGGCAGATTCTGCTCAAACCCTCTGAAAGAGACCTATCCCTATTTCCCCTGTGCCTATTTTATCTGCCTATTTCCCCTGGAGAACCTCCAGGACATTTGTCTCGGGGTTCAGGTGGACCCCGATATTCATCCCAAGCTCGCTGGCCACGAAATACACCTCATGCCAACTTGTGCCTTTACCTGATGGGAAAGGGAAAACTTGCTCCGTGTTGATCTGGCCCTTGAACATCCCGGCAGCAAACGACTTTGATTCCTGGGGGGGGCGGGCAAAGAAGAGGACAAGAGGTGCTTGAAGGTCAGCAGGCGGGCCACACAATTTGCACACAGCCGGTCCTGAGTTCAAGATACCCAGCAGCGCAAAAAGACCCCCTCCCGGTCCCAGACCCTGGGCATCTGACGATTCAACCCTGCGGCAGAAAACCGAGGGACCGACGGCCTCCATGAGGCCATGAGAAGAGTCACTTTGGGACTGCAGCTCCCTGAGCCGGGGGACCATGCTGGCTGAGGCATGCTGGGAGACGTAGTCCGAAAAAGCAACTTTTTCAAGGAGAGCTTCCTATGTTCCGAAGTTAGCTCTTTCAGGACATCAGGGTTTAGAGAGAGATGCGGGTTCCTACAACACCCCCCACAAAAAAAATAACTTCTCTCAGTGCTCGTACAGTATTTATTTATTTACACCATTTCTGTCCCACCTTTCTACCCCAAAAGGAATGGAGGCGGCTTTTCCCCCGAGGTGGGGGAAAGGGAGAAAGGAAAGCTTTTTACGCACATCCCCATGGAAGGAGAAGGCCAGAGCGCTCTCGGCTGCGGGTTGGTCTCGGACAGTATCTAACGCTGTGCTATCATTAGCTTTCCTCCAGCTTTTCGTTTGCTTTAATGACTTATAACCTGGCTGGCCCTTCAGTATCCTGCACCCAGCATGGCCCACCATTAGTGACAAAGCTTGCAATCAAGCAGTAAAGAAGCACAGAACTCAACACCAAAAGGACACAGAAAGAGCATCCTTAAAGCCAGCAAAATCCATCCAGAGTGCACACCCCAAAACTCAAAGCAGCCATAAATACAAGATGCAAACGGAAGAGGTGTTTGCTGGGCACCAGAGAAAGGCCCTCTGAAACCGAGGTGTTACCACCGAAAAGACCACGTTTCCTTGTCGCCCTCTGACTATCTTTAGGTGACTGGTGGGGGACGGAAGAAATCTAAAGAAAGCTCTCAGATACAGAATGAACGCCGTCAGTCCTTTAAGTAACTAGGTACGGGGCCCACCTTGAGGGAGCCTTCCTTAAAACCACTTTTGAATGCCCCCCCCCGAAGCTGGAATGTTTATGGATATTCCGTGTCATCACAGAAACTCAGCCAATGGGGAAGGCAGGAATCCCCATATGAACCGTCATGCTATCTACTCACCTGGGGAGACCTGGCCCCCATTTTTTGGAAATAAAATTTATCTTATTTTATTTAGTTACAAATATTTTTGCCCTGCCTTTATCCTTAAGAGAACCCGAGGCGGATTGCAACATTAGAAGGACAACATTTAGAAGCTTAAAACAATAAGAACACCAATATTTTAAAAGCACAGAGCGCTGTCCTCTGAAGATGGCCGGCCACAGAGACGGGCATAACGTTAGGAAGAACAACCTTCAGAACACGGTCAAAGAGCCCGAAAAACCCACAACAACCATATTTTAAAAGAATTAAACAAGTGTAAACAAGTATGTTAATAATAATAATAATAATAATAATAATAATAATAATAATAATAATAATAATAATAATAATAATAATAATAATAATAATAATACCATGTTAAAAATAATAATAAAATAGTACCCCTCCAAAACACCTTGCTCACACATGCAGCAGACAAACCAAACCCTCATTCCTTTATGCTAAAACACACCAGGGAGAGCACGATGAAACCCTTAAATATTACCTGTTTCCCCCATTTCCACCTTTTTAAAAAAGGAAAAAAATAAAAGAAAAAGAAAAAGTAAAAGCACGTACTCCCGCTATGGACTTTTTTTCAGACACAGCCTGGGTAGCCGACTCGGCCTTGGTGCCCGATTTTTCCAGCACAGCCTGCAAAGGGTGAACAAGATAGTATTTTATTTTATATGTTTGCCTCTGTGCATGCGTCCTGTGGCAGGGAGTTCCAAAGTCTGGGCTAAGTGACAAGGGAGTATATACGGGTTTGGAGTCTCTGTCTTGTGGGTCCAGCCAGGTGCAATTGATAGGATCATTTATTTTACTTTGCTTTAGAGTAAATAAAATTCTAAAGCCTCTCTGTGCAAAATTTGATTCACATAAAGAAATGCAGGGTTCCAGGAAGGGGGACGACCTTCCCTGGCAGACACCCTGTGCGTCACCTGTTGAGGTTCAACCTGTTGCCCTGTTGTAAAAGGAGAAAACAACAACATGATGTCCCCGAGCCACAGAGGCCTCTTGACAACCACACCAGAAACGGTGGACTTTGGAGTCATTTCACAAGTGACCAGAAAAAAAAAAAAGCAAGGGAAGAGCATTCATTCCCAAAATGCAAGAAGGTGGGGACACGTGCAGCCTGATTATGTCTTTTTAATATTTGCATTTTACAGTATAATTATAGACTCTTCAGCTTCCACCTTGCAAGAGCAGCCTTGAGCAGGATTTTTTTTCTCCCCCGATGGGAAGGCTGGATAGAAATTGCAAAGGAACAAACAGGCGAGGAAAAGTGGCTGCCAACAGGCTTTTTCCAGCGGCGCGGTGCGCTCAGAAACGGGACGCCGGGCCTCCTCTGGGTCTCGCTTCACGGGGCTTCCCCTTCGGAGGCCCAAAAATTAAAAAAATCCCAGGCTCGGAATGGATGCGCGGAGCCGAGCGCGCCTTGCAATGCCAGCTTCTGGCACGCCGGGAAATGCATTTGGGGCGGTTGCAGCGCAGATTTTTAAAAATGTCCTTCGGAGGGGGCTGCATAGCAGAGCTGCCCGGTGGGTGATGGGAGTTGTAATCCTCAAAAGTACATTTTTTTCCTAAGTGGTGGTATCCGGCCCTTGAAGATGAGCGGTGCAGGGCTGGGCAGAGACGGGACTGCCCCGACACTTCCCACGCCACTTTTGCTGACAACGATTCGGTTCCCGCACGTGGCAGGAAAACTTTGCACGGGCTGCCTGCCACCCTCGGGCGTCCAGGCGCCTGGCAGGAACTCTCACCTTTCCCCTACATTCCTTCCTCCCGCGTGGCATCAAATATGCCCGGGATAAGGTGACCTTTCCCCCAGAAAGGGACCGGCTGGACCAGCAACAAATCAGCTGTGGAGGGGGTGTGTGTGAGAGAGTCAAAAATAATGAGGGCATCGAGTTCGGGACACGTCACACGGGACCTGCCCTTCCCCACATCTCTCCCGTGGGGTGGCCCCCAAGCGTGGTTTGCGGGTGGGAAATCGAGAAGCCGATCTACCTGGGGTGAAACGGGCGCAGGTGTGAGCGGATGCCGACGCCTGCAAGAGCGGCCACCAGGACAGAGTTTGCAGGAATACCATGGACTACAATGCCCAGCATCCCCCACCACAAGCAGGACACAGGTTCCATACGGGGTCGGTGGGTGGGGGGTTTCAAATGAAACAGAAGGTCCCAGGTTTCTCCACCTCAAGCAGGACCGAGTGGCTTACTGCAGGTGCCACGCGGATACTTTTTAAGATTCCAGGTTTCTAGTCCTCATGAAGAGGCGTGAAGACAGGGCAGGCGGGCAGCCTGGTCTAGAGATGACAGAGGGAGAGGCCTGAATATCCTTTCAGAGCCTTCTTAAGTCAGGAGCGGGAAAGGGGGGGTGTATGTGTCTGCCCCAGACTACAACCCCAGGCTAACAGAGCCGATGGTGAAGGAGCATGGGATGTGTAGTCTGGCAGGACCTGAAGGACACCTTGCTCTATCATGCCGCTGTAGATATCAGTGGAAACTAACCGGGCTGGATTCCACGCCCACAGGCGCTCCTACACAACGGGTAATTGGGTCTCGGCGACGTTTGCAGGCATAAACAGGATTCATTCCTTGTTCTTTGGAAAATAACCTGCGAGCTCGTTTGGAAACAGGACGATCCCATAGCCATGCCCGCCCGACAACCCACCCACCCCCAAAAACAAACCACAGCCCCCCCTCAAAAATACCCTGCTCCCCCCCGTACCTCAGCGGCCTGGGCGGCATACAGGCGAACCCCAAAAGGTTGGGGAGTCACGCAGGTCTGCGCCAGGAACCCTCCAGACCTGTGGGAGAAAGAAAGGGAGGCAGGGGTGGTGGTCAAGGTTCGGTGCCGGGGGGAGGGGGACAAGGGAGGAACTACCACATGGGCTTCGGAGTCCCTGGAACCCATCGCTTCTCT